CCCGGCTAATTTTTTTTTTTTTTTTATTGTAGAGATGAAGTCTCACCAAGTTGCACAGATGGGTCTCGAACCCGCGGGTTCAGGCAGTCCACTCACCTCGGCCTCCCAAAGGCGCGGGATTACAGGCTGAGCCGCCGAGCCTGGCTAAATTTTCATTTTTAAGCGTGGTAAAATACACATAGCATAAAAATGTCCATCTTGGCCAGGTGTGGTGGCTTAAGCCTGTAATCCCAGCACCTTGGGAGGCTGATGTGAGAGGATTGCCTGAGTTCAGGGGTTCTAGACCAGCCTGGGCAACTTGGTGAGACCTCGTCTCTACAATAAATCAACAAATTAGCTGGGTGTGGTAGTGTGCACCTGTAGTCCCAGCTACTTGGGAGACTGAGGCGGAAGGAATGCTGGAGACCAGCAGGTTGAAGCTGTGATGGCCATGAGTGTGCCACTGCACTCCAGCATGTACGACAGAGTGAGACTCCAACTCAAAAAAAAAAGTCCATCTTAATTAGTTTGAAGTATACAGTTCAATAGTGTTAAGTGCATCCACATTTTCGTGTAGCCGGTCTCTAGAGCTTTTCCTTCTTTTCAAACTGAAACCACTCACTTATTAAACACTATCTCCCCATGTCCCCTTCCCCATGTCTCATTCCGTTTTTAGTCTATGAATTTGACTACTCCGGATTCCTCTTGTAAGTGGAACTATGCAGTATTTGCCTTTTTGTGCCTGGCTTATTTCACACCAAGCATAATGTCCTCTAGGTTCATCTAGGTTGTAGCCTGTGTCAGAATTTTCTTGCTTTTTTTTTTGAGTTGGAGTCTCACTCTGTTGCCTAGGCTGGAGTGCAGTGGAATGCTCACAGCCACCCCAGCATCGGCCTGCCGGGTTCTAGTGATCCTTCCACCTCAGCCTTCCAAGTAGCTGGAATTACAGGCACGTGCTACCACGCCCGGCTAACTTTTGATGTATTGTAGAGACGAGGTCTCGCCAAGTTGCCTGGGCTTATCTCAAACCCACAGGCTCAGGCAGTCCACTCACCTTGGCCTCCCAAAATGCTGGGATTGTAGTCTGAGCCACCAAGCCCGACCTGCTTTTTAAAGTTGACTAATACTCTATTGTATGGACATACTACATTTTGTTATCCATTTTTCTGTCAATGAATACTTGCATTGCTTCCACATTTTGGCTATTGTGAATAATGTTACTATGAATGCAGATGCACATAAATTTATGTTTTTCTTTTTTTTTTTTTGAGTTGGAGTCTCACTCTTTCACCCAGACTGGAGTGCAGTGGCCGCTTCCAGCCACCGCAGCCTCGACCTGCTGGGCTCCGGCGATCCTTCCGCCTCAGCCTTCCGAGTAGCTAGAGCTACAGGCACGCACTACCACGCCTGGCTAATTTTTTGATTTATTGTAGAGATGAGGTCTCGCCAAGTTGCCCATGCGGGTCTCGAACCCATGGGCTCAGGCAATCCACTCACCTCAGCCTCCCAAAGGCGCAGGATTACAGGTTGAGCCACCGAGCCCGGCTTAAATTTTTTTTTTAAAGTTGGAGGTCTTGCCATGTTGCCCAGGCTGGTCTCAAACTCCTGGCTTCAAGCTGTTTTCCTGCCTTGGCCTCCCAAAGTATTGGAATTACAGGCATGAGCCACCATGTTAGCCATATTTTTCTTTTTTAATTAATTTTTTTCTCTTTAGGCAATTGTAAATTGACATGCTGTTGTAAGAAATAACACAGAGAGACCCTTTGAATTTTTTACACTCAGTGATAAAATATACAGTAAAAAATCTGTCTTGTGAAACTATACTAACTGGGGTGTTGACATTGATACATACAAGATATGGAACATTTGCTTCACCAGGACCCTGTCAGGAACCTGTCATGCCTCTACCCACTTCTTTCCTACCATGCCCTCATCGGGCTCTGGCAACCTTGGATTTGCCCTTTTTCTCTATAATATTGTCTTTTCTTTTTGAGAGTGTTATATAAAGGGGTCCACATAGTGTGTGGCCTTTGGGGACTGGCTGTTTGCACAGCATAACTATGCAGCTTCATCTGGTTGCCACAGGCATTGATGGTCTGCTCCTTTGTATTGCTGAGTAGTGTTCCATGGTGTGAACAGTCCACAGTTAGTCTGACTATTCACCAGTTGAAGAAGATCATTTTGTTTCTAGTGTGGGGCCGTTATAGAGTAAAGCTGTTGCCAACGTTTGTGTAGAGGTTCTTTATTGTGAACAGCTGCACAGCTGGGCAGATGTGCAGGTGTGCACAGGTGTGTAGCCATTGGGTATATAGAAATTGCACATTTACTTCTTTTTTGGGGGGGATAGGAGACTCAGTCTGTTACCCAGGCTGGAGTGCAGTGGCATGCTCATAGTCACCGCAGCCTTGACCTGCTGGACTCAAGCAGTCCTTCCACCCCAGCCTTCCAAGTAGCTGGAACTACAGGTGCATGCCACCATGTCCAGTTGATTTTTAAAATTTATTTTAGAGACCAGCTCTCATCAAGTTGCCCAGGCTGGTCTCAAACCTGTGGTCTCAAGCAGTCCTCTCGCCTTGGCCTCCCAAAGTGCTGGGATTACAGGTGTGAACCACCTAGCCCAGCTGCACATTTAGTTCTGTAAGAAGCTGCTCTGTCCTTTCCCTGAGTGACTGTCATTGGCATCACGCCAGCTACATGT